GACCCTCTTTGCCCTTTGTGTATAAGAACAAGGGTAACAATGGTTTTTATTTGCTGAACCTGATTAATACATCTGACATCATCAGTGAAAACATAATTTCTGAAACCTACTGCTTCTGGCTACTATGACTCCTTGTCTCATTGGAACCAGAAGATGCTTATTTATTCTAAACATGGAAGTGATAAAGTGACCATAAATGATCTTTTCCATAAAATTATGGCGCCTCAGAGATAATCTAATTCAACTCTCCTTATTTTTACAGAAAAGAAAGCAGGATAAGTGATTTACCTGAGATCATACAGATATGGCCCAGGACTCCTGCCTCTTAGTCTATTTTTTACTGCACAGATGTCAAATAATTGCTTTTTTGCCCTACGGTTGTTTATATCAGCTCTGAATTAGTACGTATTAATCTTTAGGAGAAAAAAAAAAAAAGCAAAAAAAAAGGTGAGGACCAGGTTTGCTGGTCCAAAAAAAAAAAGCAAAAACACTGTCTATGGGCCATTCTTGTTAAAATACCTCTCTAGAGGAATGGTTCCAGTTTTGGTTCTTTTTTCTTTGGAGAAAATGGGGGAAAAGAGTGATTCTAAAGTAAAAATGAAATCAAGTCCCTTGCTAACTGTGACTTGTGCTATAAAGCTAGTACAACTCCCAAAGAATGACTATTTCACTTCTTGCTTGCCCTAAGATTTCAACTCCTATTGTCTATTTTCCTAGAACCACATAATAACTTGCAGAGTTCATTCTATTAATGCTTTAAGACATAGATTTTGTTTACTTGAATCTTTGTTCATTTATTTGCTCATTTGTTTAACAGGTATCTATGAATAACTACTGTGTGCCAATGACTGGAGATACACCAGTGAATATGACAAAGTCCCTTGCTCTTGGAGCTCAGATTTGGTGGTTGGGAGAAAATTAAGTAAACTAAAGGGATAGGGAGTGTCAGGAAAACATCTGTGTACATATGTTGGGTTTTTTTGTTTGTTTGTTTGTTTCTTTTTGTTGTTGTTGAGAATATACCCAGCAGAACACACACCAATTCAACTGTTTTTACATGTGCAGTTCAGTAACACTGATTATGTTCCTCAGGTTGGCCAAACATTCTCATCTTCCTTTTCCAAATCATTCCTCCTTCATTTACATAAATTCACTGCCCCTAAGTTTCCTGTCTAGTCTTTTGAGTTGCTGTCATCAATTTGATCCCGTATCGATAGTTCTTAAAAGAGTACACAATGTGGACAGTCTTTACTAGTTTAGCTAAACTTTTATTTAATTTCTAAGAAGATGTCATTCAGTCTGGAGTTTGAGTAAGAGATCAATTTAGGGGCTATTAGTGTATAGAGGATATTTAAAGCCATGAGACTAGATGAAATCATTTAAAGATGTGTCTAGAGAGAGAAGAGAAATAACCCAAGGAATAAGTTTAAGGTTTAAAGGTTATCTCAGGGAAATAGTTGATTTAGGATAGGAAGTCTTATTATTAAGGTGACATTTGAGCAAACACATGAAGCAAATGGGGGAGCGAATTCTGAGATCTAGTGAAGGGCATTCTAGGCAGCAGGAATAGCAGGCATCAAGGCCTAGAGTGAGATTGTGTTTGGCATGTTTGAGAAAGCTGGAACTGAGTGAGCAAGGAGAGTGGTAGGAGGTGAAGACCGAGATGGGGCAACAACCAGATTATGTAGGACTTTATTGGCGCACTTTCAAGGACTCTGAATGAGAAGGAAGGCTCTGAGCAGAGGAATAACTTGATCTGATTTATACATTTTCTTTTTTTGTTGAGCTAAGATTCATATAATGTAAATTGACCATTTATTTTAAAGTATACAGTTCAGTGGCTTTTAGTGCATTCCAGATGTGCAACTATCAATAATATCTAGTTCTAGAAAATTTCCATCACCCCAAAAGGAAACCTTATACTCATTAAGTAGTCATTTTTTATTCCCCTAGTCCCTGCTTTCTGCCTCTATGGATTTGCCTATTCTGGATGTTTCATGTGAATGAAAT